TTCATCAGTACCGCCTTCTGCACGTTGCGCTGTGAGCAAGTGACGCCAGCCTGGCCGCGAAAATCATCTTTGCGGGCCTTCTTGGTAGCGGACAGCGCGAGGCAGGCAGCCTGCACGGCGAGAATACCGTTGTCGACCTGTGCGCACTGTAACTGGATTTCGGCGCGGCGCAGCTTCGAGTTGTCATCGGTGGCATCCTCCGTTGCTCGCTGCCCATGCTTCATGCGGTACGATGGTAGCTGGATCGCCATCAGTTCCGGCTCGTGGGCTTCGAGCGCGCTCAGCGTCAGACGCGGATATATCCTAGTCAGCCGGTCACGGACTTTCTTGAGGGTGAGATTGAGCGAGTCACGCAGGTTCGTGATGCCGTCCGACGTCTCCTGCAACGGATGCTCCCGTTGGCTCTTCAGGAATGCGATCGTAAGGACCCTGGAACGCGCCGTCAGTATTAGGAGTAGGGTTATGCGAAGACAGCTTACTGCTGACGCTCGATGTCCATCCCGTCCCGGATCCACTGTGCCACCGAAGACAATGGAGGCGAGGTGGCTGCCTGGGGAGCTTGCACTTGCTCTTGGGCGATCAGAGACGCGAGGATGTTCTCAATCGTGAGCACTAAACGTTTTGAGGCTCCGAGCCTGGATAACAGATACATGGGCGCACCTTTTGTCGACTCGTGCTGATAAACGCTTCGCGGCTTTCCGTCGGGTCCCTTCGTTGCCAATCGCGACAGTCGCGACCAAGCACCAATTTCGGTGTTGTGCTGTCTGCTGAGGTTCACCAATATGGCCGTGTGGAGCTCGAAGAGCCGAAGCGCATCCTGTCGCTCAGCTGCGAGCAGGTCCGCTGTGGAATGGCACGTCAGTAGGGACGATCACGGCCGACAACAGAGTCATACCTTGGCGCAGGACCTTCTCAAGATTCCACGTGTCCACCACGAAGTTCATGATGTCGTGGCGGGCCGAGCCAGTCGATTGCCGCAATGGCGCCCCGAGAGGGTTAAGGAATGCCCAAAGCATCTCCGCTGTCTCCCCGTGAAAATGTGCACGGCAAGCAAAATACACGGCCTGCCAAATGGATTGGCAGTCCGGTCCGTGCCCGTTGATGTGATCTGCCGGTATCTGGCCTTCGATATCTGCCAGCAGCTCATAAAGTCATGTCTCGTCCGGGAAAAGCGCTATCGTCCGTTTCACCTGGTTCATCACGAATGAGCACTGGCTGTCCTAGCTCTGGACCATGGGTGTCACTGACTCTGGGGGGTACGGCGGCGAGTTGTTGTGCCTAAGAAATTCGCGCACTGCAAAAGTGCCGAGCGCGAAACTATACATGTGCTCGTGTCAGTTTCCGTGTTACCTCCAGGACGTCAAGACTTCGACGGGCATGTCAATGAAGGAACCCGCAACAGTGTGGTCGCACGCGCACGCGACGACACTGCTGACCGCCATATTGTCGTATTTGGGGCTTGCTTGGTGGCGAATAGACCCTATATTTGATTTACAGGGTACTTCCTGGGGGTCATCGTCAACGGGGGAGATCATAGCGTCGAAGGACGCTTACCTTGTCTTCGTCCGGGACCACATATGTCTTTTTTATCCTGTCGAACAATGTTTGCAGAGGAAAATACATGTCGCCGTCGGTGAGGGCCATGTCGGTGCCGTTGTTGCGTTTGAAGTGCAAATTCATCTTGAAGTTGCCATCGATGGTATAAAACCGCGAGATGAGGTGGCTGGGAATCAATGAGCGACAAAGCCTTGACGAGCTAAGCGACTCACCAAAGGTAACTTGGACAAGTAACGACGAAGGGCATGTTGATACCGCGTTCGGGGCAGGCACCGCACGGCATACCCAGATATCCTTTTGCGCTATTGGGGTACGGACGGCCGAGTTCGCCAGGCAGAGGGGTGTCCGGCTGGTGAGCACCTCCTCGCTTCAGCAGGATGTCGAGATATTGATGATATTGGATGACCATGAGGAAATTCGCATATATGTCCTATGTCAGTCTATGCATCTCAAGCAACGAGAGGGAACCTACCGGAACCACATTTTTGAAGTGGGGATCAGCCAGCCGCTGCAAAACGCGTACAAAGTTGTATGCGGAACCCTTCCCCTGGTTCCGCGCCTGCCGATAATGCTCGAGTAGACCAAGTGTATAGCCTGTTTTGGGATCTTTGATGCTCCCTGGGAATATGCACAATTGTAGGAGCTGCTGGTAGTCCTCCCCGGCCGTCGTGCACCCGCAGAACCTGATGGCAGTGGCATGGATACCGTTTGTGTCCACCAAGGTGAACGAATGTGCCAGCTCCGCACGGGGACAGTGCTCGCCATGGTGCCCGAGCGAGACGGCTGAGTTCTTCATGACCCTAGAGATGTCGTGCTTCTCGAAACAGCCGTCCGTCGCATTCCACACAAGTGCCCAATGGCTGGGCATCGTCCTATGCTTGTTCGGCCAACATTGACGACAGAGAACCGGCGCCTGCACGCAGTCTTGGCACGTGACGGTCTGCGCACCCTTTTCAGGACATGAACAGGGGGTATTGACTTGTCGCGAAGAGTGGAGGGAGAGTAGAATTTTGAGGAAGTCATCTTGCTTCGCCTTGAACTGGTCCATACTATCAACACTCTGTAAAGTTTTCAGGCCACTGCATTAGATTTGTACGGTGAACCCACCCATTGTTTCCCAGCCTCTTCAGGCTCCAAGGGCTCGGTCAGGTCGTATGGCGGGCTCGCGCCCGGCTCCTCATGGGGCGCATCCTGGAACGGGAGGGGTGCACCACCCTCGTTCATGTCGATATCTGGCACAGGGGCGGGACTGGGCGGTCGTGTCAGCGTCGTCTTTCCTCCACGGTAGCGTTCTTCGGTTTGGGGAGGAGCTGAGTCTGTGGAGGGTAAGGCCGCAGCACTACTCGAAGGTGGCAACCCTCACTTGTGTGGTAGGTGAATTGGACGATTCGACGGCTGGTGTTGAGCATCGAGGTACTCGCAACATCATTCCGTACATTTTGGTTTTTCTTGACGCGGGTGGCCTTCATCGTGTATGACGAGCTGGTGAGAGGAAATGAATGGGTGCGTGCTGAGGATGGATTAGGAAACGCTCTGCCGAGGTGGAACAAAGAGTTGTTATTGATGGGGCCACACGGCAAGCGCTTTGAGCGTGTGCACAAGGGGGCACTGAATCAAGCAGTCAGTACTGAGCTGAATAAACAAGGGAGGAAGATACAAGCAAAGGGAAAGGGATCGGAAAGGGCGGCGCCAACATGAAGTCTGGTGTCGAGTGGGCGGACATGAAGTCTTACCGCAGACTGACACGAAGTCTAGCCTGCATCGTCGATGCGCCGGGGGGTTCTTGCTTGCTGAGAGCCTCACAAGTTCGCAGCGTGTTGCGTCGTACGTTCGGCGGTAGGGCGCGGATGCACGGGAGAGTGGGGTCAATTTATGGTGCCAGGAATACAAGATTTCGTCGGTCAAAGGATGTAGGTATTAAAATTGTATGTATAGTGACCGTTTTTCTACAGTGCCCGTGTTTCAGCTACAAAAAATGGCCGTGGGGGCCAACATGAGAGTCTTGCCAGGCCGACATGAAAGTCAGGCTTAAAGAAAGCAGGCGGACATGAAGTCACGCCTGCTATTCGGGTGTTGAGGTCGTAGTTGATGCGGGAGCCTGAGCGTGAGTGAGCATGGGCGTCGGGCATTGCGGACGAGGCAGTGCAGAAGAGTGGGAGCGGAGCGAGCGTGAGCGTTGAGGATGGTGACAGTAGGAGCAGAGAAAATTTCATTATTTGAACGACATGTAGTAGCCAGCAGTAACCAAGATGCAGTGTAGTCTGAATTTTGGTACAAGGCAACATGCACATAAGGTTCAAATACTATCGAGCATCACCCGCGCGTAAATGATAAAGTGCAGCTACAAAATAAAATCAAGTGTGCTATGGGTGCATGCATACCATGGGTATCCTTATTCCGTAGATAGTTGATAGCTTTTATGTGACGGGAGATAGTTCTGGTGTAGTCGAACGGGTGCTGTCACGTCAGTATTTAGTTGTGAGCGAAATAAGAGTTTACTGAAGTTCAGAATACCCAGAAGTGTTTCGAGAGGGTGAGTGAAAAGAGTTAAGAAGCTTCTCGTAAATAGATTGTTCCAACGTAATTGAGATTGCCAAAAGCTAGAGCAAGTCAGTAGCTAACGTGTCTGCTAGCACCCGGCATTGGCAAACTTAAGACAACAAGAAACGCGAACCATCCGCCACCGAGTCCTTATCACCTTTGAATGCACCCTACATATAGACAAAAATCTACTTTCCCTCGCAACAACACGCGGACTCGAATCGAACGGGGGACTTCTGCTGGGTCGGTGCGGCCACTTCGTGGGACGCAGAGGTAAGACCATCCGACACCGAGTTTGTACAAGCAAGGCAATGCACCTGAATGCATGTATCGTGCCTAGTTCACCTATAGGGCATGCGTTTCCGGCGGTGGAAATTTTGCAATGCAAGTAAGGGGACAAACCGAGGGGAAAAAGCTGTTGCCTCTTAGCACAAGACTCGGGCCCGAATCGACCGGACGTCATCTGCCGGGAAGTTACCCAACCCATACAAGGGAGGCAGATGCAGACCCTGCGCCACCGAGTCGGTAGTAGACCTGAAGGTGTCCTAGGTAAATGTGACACATGGCAGCGTTCATATTCATAGACTGAGCCGTTTTGTGAGTGGGAGCATCAGAGAGGGACGGAAGGTGAGCATGGCATCCATGGCAGTAGAGCTGAGAAATCAAATGGCGGGAGCACCATTTGCACATAAAGGGTCGAAAGAAAAGGAATGAAGAAGATCCAGGAGAGCCTTCACCACGTCAGTATACGTGCTTCGCAGGGTAGTCCGGTAGAAAATGATTCGGTGGATCCCCCAGTGCTGTTGGCTGTGATGGATTTTATCCCTTGGGGGGGAAACCAACCGGATTTTGCAGAGCGATAGCCAAGCGAAAGATGAAAAAATGATCTTGTTTCCCTTCCAAGACTCGGGCCCGAATTGAACGGGCGCCTTCCGCGTGGAATCCGCTATCAGAGGCAGACGCGAACCCTTCGCCACCGAGTCGTCGATATCCTTGAAGCATTCCCCCTGAGTTTGAATGGTTGAAGCTTGAGAACGAGATGACGGCGGGAACAGAAAGGCAGTGGCACGTGCTCTGCGCGTTGCCTTGACAATGACTGCGTCATTCATGATTCCATTCCCTCTCTGAGTCTCGCCTTGCTCTTACCGTGTGTATCTCCCTCGAAAATACTCTGAGAACGGCCAACCGAGTACGGCACGACTTCCTCAAATTTATTATCGCCGGTGCGCCTCTGCAATTGAAATGGATTGGATTGAATTACCAAAGGCGACGCAGCAATGGGACGCCCCCGCTGCTGCCTCGAGCTCACCGACCGACCGTTCCTCCCGAATCCAGAAGCTGCAGTGCTGGGACACGGCGGAGACTGAGTCGTTTCCCCCTATCACCCGGTCGCATTATCGTGGCGCGGCCGGTGCGTCTCTTCTCCTCCTTCTCATCTCTGTCAGGAATCTTACTATCCTAGTAGGCTGCCTCCTCGTCTAAGATGTCGCCTCGCCCTGCTCCTTCGTGCAGTGCTGGGACACCGCGGGCACCGAGTCCTCACGCTTTTGTACGCGTTTGTACGCGTTTCTACTACCGTGGCGCCGCCGGTGCGTCGCCTCTCTCTCTCCAGCTCGCGGCCGCGGCTCACTATTCGCATAGGCTGCCTGCTCGGCTACGACTTCGTCTCGCGCCGCTCCTTTAAGAACATCTGCAACCGGCTTGCCGACGTGCGCGCTCACGCTGACGCGCATGGCTGTATATTTATGAGGAATAAGCTCGATTTGTGCGAGGGGGTCGCGAGTGGCTTCTTTCCTGTTTCGTCCGAGTGAATGGGAGGGCGTTGTGTGCGTGGAGTCGCGGAGCGCGCGCCGGGTGGCGCACAGCGCAGCGCGTGTCACCCCCGGGACTGCGGCGTCGCCGTCTGCGCGCTCCGCCGTAAGCGATCGCGTGCGGTGTCTCGCTTGCAGAGCCAGCGCTCTCTGCGAGCGCGGGAGCTGTCCGAGTCACTCGCGATTTGGGGTACGGAAGGGGACGCAGGCACACCTTTTGTACGTGTCCTCTCCGAGCAAGTGTCCGTGCCGTACGAGGCGTGCGCGATCTTCCACAGGTCCTCGCGCGGACGCTGCGGATTGACGAAGCGCGGCTGCAGGGGATGTCCGTGTTTCTTGCATCGTGGAGTGCTCCCATTCCTGCGCACGGCAACAAAGCATCCTCGTGCAGCGACGGACTGGGCTGTGTATCGCAGCTGTGGGCAGCCGGCATCGCATTCCGCACCGCCAGCCATTCGTGGTGTACTGCGGGCGATAGTTGTGGGAGTGGTGCGCTATCGCGCTGATATCTCTTGCGGAACGTGCATACGGCGCTCGCCGGGTTCGGTTCTGTGGTGTACGAACCCGTCGACTTGGTCGTGTGTAGCGCATCATTCTGCAGCCGCCATGCCGGTTTGTCTTGCGCGTGGCGAGTTCCGCGTCGGAGAAGAGCGCCCTCTTCCTCGCGACGGGTTGGTGAATGCCGGTGGATATCGCGCCCAATGATATCAGGCCCCGGGCCCGCAGAGGTGGCGTAGGAGAACGCATCCGTGTCTGCATGCTCCGCCGAGCGCCTCGTGCTCGCGAGCGGCGATGGTGTCTGCGGGCCGGAAGGAAGTCTAGATTGCAGATGCACGGTCGTCCTAGGTAACTCCCCTGCGAGCGAGCACAGTGCCCTGAACATGATTACTTTGCTGTTATGTAATATCTTACTGTCGCGAAAAATGATTCCCCACTGTGCTTGCTTCCCTGTGCTTCCAGTAGCTCAAGACTTAGGCGTAACTCGTATCTCGACGAATATCGCATGTGATGGACCGAGACAAAAGGTTCGCGTGCCTCGTGCCTGAATCGAACAGGCGTCTCTTGCAGGAATGCTGATCTTCATTCGGACAAAGGGCAGGTGCGGTCTATCCGCCATCGACGCCTTGTGGAGAGGCTGCATTTAGCAGTGAGCGTGCGCTGCAGGTGCGCGCGTTCCTATAACCGTGGCTAGCGCCTTTTCCAAAATTGACTCCCTTGTTCGAGACATAGTCTCAGTCCACAGCCGGTGGTTCATGTCATTCGCAATCCCGCATGGTAGAAAACTGGGACATTTTCCTGCCCAAGACTCGGCCCTGATTCGAACAGGCGGCCCCTGCAAGATCCGGGAGCGTGGAACACGAGGTACAGGCGCGGCACGCCATCGAGTCGGTACTCTCCTGCAGTGTAACTTCAATAAACGAGACCCATCGCGCGGTCTGATGCGATGACGAGCATCGCGGTGAATATTCAAAACGGAGGACTCACAGTTGAACCTGTGCCAATTCGTAATCAAACAGCATTAGTTCGTCGCTAGAATATCTATTCAGCGGCAGATGAACAAGCCAGATGAATGTCATAAAAAGTATCCACACCTAGGACTGGGACCTGTGTCGAACAGGCGCTTTCTGCGTAGGAGGCGAAGTCTCGATACTGAGCGCGGACCGTCTGCTACCAAGTCGTCTGAATACTGACAGATGTCCTGGGGTGATGTGAGATATTTGATCACAAACTGGTCTTGGACCGAAGTATTGGAACATTCAATACGAAGAATCGGCGAAGGATATGGGTAAGGGTTAGATTATTTACCTTTGACATTCCAGCGTTAGTGGATGAGGCAATGGTACCGAAAGAAAAGTTACTCACCCATCGGAAGGGGTCTGCTTGCACCACGGACACCAAGTATCCCACGCAGAGATAAATAGAACGTCCGTAAGCGCCGTGAAGATTCAACATGGGGTTTCTATCAACAACGCCTGGGGCCCGACTCAAACGGGCACCTTCTGCGACGGTATCTTGGCATTAAGTACAAGCAGATTCAGTTAGTCGGTTATCGGAAGTTCCACGAGACGTTCGCGGGCACCCGGGAAGGCAAAATGGCTGAAATTGTCCAGTGTCCACTATGCTCATAATTAATAATCTTCGTCCAAATGGGACCACCTATGACACGCGCGCTGACTGCCAGTGCACGGCAGGCTTCGGAGGAGGAAAGAGCCCGCAGCCAAGGTAGCGAGGGGTACAATCTTCGGCAAGAACCATCACGAAAGCGACGGTGCCGAGCGTATCCTCAGGATCGTGAGGAATGAATCGGACCGAGGGAACATGAACGGCGGCGTAGACGAGGAACGAATTGTAATACCACGGGGCCCAGTCGGCTTCTTCCGCTCTCTTCCTCACCACTTCGATCGTTTCGTTCCCTCGAGCCAGTGTGGATATGCATCTGCCGTCCGACGCCGTCTAATTGAACTCTCTACAACTCAAGCACGGTACAGTGCAAGGCGACCCACCGGCCCATCCATAGCGATCGAACGATCTATGCTGGCGCTGGTCCTTCCTATCACTCCTTTGTTGCGTGTGAGAAGCATACTGCGAGTCAAAACTCCGTATAGGCGCACCGAGTCCAACTCCTTCTCACGCAACCATCTCTGTCCCAACCGCGAGCCAAATCCGCCCCCTCAGTATACCTGCCAATTGAACGCCCCCGCCTCATTCACTCCTATTCCGTTCAACGTTCGGGCTCCGGTTTCCTGTGCGCGATTCTCTCGGACGCGTGCCTCTTGGACGTGTACTATACATCCGATGGGCTCCAGAGTCTGATTCGCGCCCGATATTTAAATCTGCATGACTTCGGTCATCTGCGGGGGGTGTTTCGGTTGACTGGACTTCGAGGTCGTTCCCTGGGGTAGTCTATTGTGTTGGAGGACCTCCTATCCAACTACTCCACGATTTACCAGGAACGTTGTGTTACCTTGTGACTGCGCGAGACACATCAAGCGCGACCGCTAAGTGTATTCACAGAGTCTACGCTGAGCGTAAATGGGAACCAAAGAAGGCCGAAGAAAAATTAAATGAGCCCCATCCACGTCAACTCCGGATTTTACCGGAGGCGTTGGAATCGCCTTGGAACTGGTTAACACATTAATTCTGGCGCCGCAATCGATTGCCTTCATCCTTCAGCGCCCACACGGAGTCGAATTTGGCCCAATAAATGCGAAAAGAATTCGGTTCCTAGCGCATGTTTTGAGCGCAGAAAGCTCATTCGAATTCGACCGGGCGTCCCCCGCGGTGACGAAGTAGACTCAACTCATGAAACGCAGGTGGCCTGTTTAAGCGGGATATTGTTCCAGGATGTGGTTCCAAGCTACTAAGTCTCGCGCCGCTCCATCTAACTCTGTTGTTGAAGAGATCTGGTGCCGAATCAGCCTCGCGTGGTGAGTACTAGATTCGCTCAACCCAGCGGTGGATGTGTTTAGATCTACCTTTCGGGATTTCGTACTGACAGGAAGTGCCGAAGGCACACATACCGACGCTCCTCGTTACGAGAGCGAGCTCAAAGATAAGGATGGCCATGTGACGTGAGTGATTTAACTTATTAATATCTGGACATGAGAACTGCACTTGTTATTATTAGTGTGAAGGTGTCTTCCGGGTAGGGCGAGCTGCTGCCGTCCATTGCTCTAACCTGGAACAGGAGTAGGTAAGCCGGTATGCTGACTGAGTTCAACAGATTTATTTCCCTTATTCATTTCTCGGCCGAGTCGATACACATCTGACGTTCTGCGGACGCATCGGGGCAGATCGGGCCCGGGCTTGTGGGTTTCTTGACATGACTGACAGCTGAGATGGAAGACGAGGAACCTTAGTCGTCCCTATCATTTGGCTCTGTTTGGCTACAACGCCGACATGTGATCAAGTCGCGTACGCGTCCAAAGCCACCACCAGGCCATTTTGGGCATTGTCCGACGCGCCATTTACCATTATGCAGCCATTTCGGTGGCACAGCTGCCATTTCCTCTGTTACTCCTCCATCACTGCTCTCCAATATGTCCCGCAAACACCCCGCTGCCGTCCTGACTGCTAACCAACTAAAACTGCATATCGCGCACGCTCTCGGCCCTCCGCCGGAAAGAGAAAAATATGATTCTGCCATAATTACGCTGGAAATGTCCGAATCC